AAAGAAATTTTATTATAGAGCAGATAAGAAAAGGGATTTTATTATAGAGCATTTAATTTGAAAATCCTACATTTACAGTTCCCAAACTTGTGGTTCATGAAGCTACATTTCGAAACTGACTTTAGGCTAGAACTTTCAGAACACAATCTAGATGAATTGAATTTGAGCATATTTGATTTGAATAACCCTTCATATGCAGCTTTAAGTGACGTGGCTGAACACCTTTCTCATTGCAACTCACTCCGACAAGGTTAAATTAACTGCATGGTTTGCCTGGTTTCCTGTTCCAATTCAAGATTTCATCTCTTTTATCAGGTTGTTTCTTGCTAGTTTAAGTGGATATCTATTTTGCATCCAACCTGCAGTGCTTTTGCTGAAAAAAATTCCATTTTCAAGTGTAGGTATGATCTGATTCTTGCTGTCCAGTAGTCCTTTTTATCCATGAAGTTGAGATGAGATGCTTGTTTTAACCAAGAGCATTTGCTTCCATATGCCTTGCCTTTGCTTTTGTTATGATATGCCCCTGAAGTTCTGATTACTCTGAGGGGGAAGAAGCAAAACAGAACTGATATTGGAAAATTTTCGATGCAAACTGCCTCCAAAGAAAGCTTAATAAGAACGATATCATTGAGTCCTGCGTGAATGCTTGAAGAACTGCACTCCTATGGGAAAATTTTTTGTAGAATTTGTCAATTCATAATATCATATGTGCATGAGTGCCTCAAGTATAAAGCTTGGAACTGCAGAAGAAGTAGAAGCTTCTTTTGGAAAATTTTTCACAGGTAGTCTGGGTAGGAATAGAGTGATTTTTCTTTATATTTTTCTTTTCTGGAATCGGATGTGATAGAATAAATTATTAAAATCTAGACAAAATAGTAAAGTTCTATGAATAAAGCTGTCGATTCGAACTCTTCTCTTTTGAATGGGGAAATCCTTTACTGTCTTCGCTTGTAGCAACTGCATACCCATCCCAGAAAATGAAGGGATTCAAATATGGGAATTTCCCATATCTTATTATACCTTAGATTGTTTAATGTTTATTTGCTTTGGACTTAATGGTGATAATCTTCTTTAAATATTTGAAGTAAGATTCAGGTGGTTGGGTAGTAAAGTGATGTAAGAATGTTGTTTCTCATTATGTATTATGTAAGAGATGCGTTTTTAAATTATCAAAGAATAAATTAATCTTGAGATATGCAAAAATTAACTCAAAGGATGCTTTAATCATAAATACTAAAAAAAATAAGAAATGGTGCTGTATAAGAGCTTCAAATTTACCCACCATCCTCTAATACAAATTTTTTTCGACACTGACACTCTTAAAAGTAACACTTCACAAGAGCTCCAGTTGGGGAAGACACTTTTGTCCGTGCTTAGAGACCATAATTTGTAGTGAAACCTGGTAGGGAATTTTACATAGATAATGCTTTTTACCGAACAAGGAATCATGATTTCTTCTTTAGACAACCAGAATATATACCCCAAAACAAGATTACATTACATATCATGTAGGATGTAACCAATTTATCATTTTTGTATTACAATCCTTCAGCTGTACCAAACACTAAAATCTGCTTCTCAACCTTTAACTTTCGATCCAATCCCACGAACAGTAAAAAAGGAAACTAAAAAGACAAAAACCAATGCCACAGCATCAGTACTATCAAATTAAATACCAATATAACAAGATTTTAATTCCCCAACATAAGCCTTTAGACCTTTTCCCTCCTCCCTACTCTTTTTGCACCTTCCCTTGCTTCTCAATCCATCCCAGCTACATACCTAATGCCTCCTTTCTCAAGTTTTCTCATATTCTCCCTTCTCTCTTCGAATCAAGGAAGCTTGGATTCTCCTGGTTTTATTTATATAACAAATATAAGTATGATATATAAACTCTTCTTTGCATTAAAACCATTGGTGCTTCTCTTAGCTTCTGCATCATTGTTGTTGTTAGAGAAGACAATCCAAGCCATAGTTTATAGAACCAGATTGGAGAGACATGAATTCTTCCAGAGTTCTTCAGTTTATCACAATATTTCTCTTGCATCCTTTCCTCTCTGCAGGTGACTTGCCTGGTCTATGGTTGTATTTTTTTTTTTTTTTTGAATTTTTACATTTATATAGCATGCCAAATTTTTATTTATTTATTTATTTTATATCTTAACTCCAAGCATGCAATGTCTAATTGAAGAAGTTGCTAACATACCTAACGCAGGCATGCTATATAAATGTACACCGTTTTTCCTTTTTATCATTTCCTCTCGGTGTAGGATTCTAGTGTGTGAATTCATTTTTTTAAGGAAGAGAATGCATTGGGATTTTTGGCTTTTTTTCTTTATCCCATGATTGTTTCTGGAGGAAATTCCAGGAAAGCAATGGATATAGCAGTATATAAAGAAAAAAGGTGGAGAAACTAATAAGCTCCTAGTGAAACCAGGTGCAACTTATCCATAGGATTATTTTGATTTTGATTAGGAAAGAAAAAATGATTTCCCGCTTCTTCCTTTTAAACCATTTCATTTCTTTTACTCTCCACATTATGCAGATGAAATGAGTATAGAGATGTGAGCAATACCGTGTAACCAAAAAAAAAAAAAATAGTTTGAAACAAAAACTCTTTTCAAAAAGGAGATTACTATTAGATTTAATTTCAGAATTTTCTTGCATTATTTTTTGAATACTTCAAATAATTAATTATATAATAAAATAATCATTTTTTATTCAAATCTCTCTCCACCCATCACAAAATTCAACCTTGAGATTTTCATTAAATATAAAAGCTGAAGTTTCTAACCAGAAGGTCCCCAAAGTAGCAAATGCCCGTAGTTTCTATTAGATAATGACATCTTTACAAAATGTCTCTTTTTTTTTTTTTTTTTATTTGACATGCTTGAGAGGTCGAGATGATTCCAATTAAACCTTTGGCTCCTAAAGGGGCAGTATCTTTAGCTCTCCCATTGATTGCACACTTTGTTCTAATCTTGTTTTGTAATTTTACAATCATCAATTCAATCAAAGTAACTTCTTTTCTATTTCCTTCGTGTTGAAGAAAAACATGAGTACTTACTCTGTTTTTGGTTTCTTCAGGTTTAAGTCTTTTAGAGAAACCACCTCCTGTAGAGATCCAGAAAAAGGAAGAGCTAAACACTCAAGGCTTTCGGGTTCTATACTCACCTACACTATCCACCCCAATACTAGATGATGTTCCTGTTGTCAACCCAACAACTCCAGGCACGACAACTCCAAGTGTAAGCCCACCAACCATGACTACCCCAATCACAACCCCGACAACCCCGACAACCCCGACAACCCCGACAACCACACCACCCACAACCCCGACAACCCCGACAACCACACCACCCACAACCCCGACAACCACACCAACCACCACCCCAGCAGCATCAGGTGGTGCTTGGTGCATTGCAAGTCCATCTGCAGCACCAACCGCACTACAGGTAGCTCTAGATTATGCTTGTGGATATGGAGGTGCAGACTGTTCACCAATTCAACCAGGTGGAAGTTGTTACAACCCCAATACAGTTCAAGATCATGCTTCTTATGCTTTTAATGATTACTACCAGAAGAATCCAGCTGCCACTAGTTGTGTTTTTGGAGGAACAGCACAGCTCACTTACACTGACCCAAGTAAGATATGTTCACTAAAGTACCATAATATGATTGAAATCAATCTTTTCTAAAACTCATTTCTATGTTGTGGTCTAGGTAATGGAAACTGTCACTACGCATCACCATCAGCAAGGTAATCTTTCTAATAAACATCTCATACTATATATTTTACTACTATAGGCTAAAAGCCTAAAACAAAAGAGGGAAAAACTTAACTTTTTTCTGTTAACATGTGAATACAGCATAAGTCCACCAGCAACGACCATGACTCCACCGGTGACCATGAGCCCGCCAGTTACCATGAGCCCGCCAGTGACAACGACTCCAACTACAACCATACCTGGTGAACCTACAGTTTATGGTGCAGCAGAGCCAACAGGGCTTCCAAGCTCAGCCACCTCGGTATCATGCACCCTATGGGTGCTTGTTGCCACAATTGTTCTCATGGGAACAATCAACGCAGCAAACCACATGTAGGTACTACTTGGAAGCCATCAAGTTGCGCTCGGCAAGGGGCCTTTGATTCCCATGCTTGCCCGGAAAAATTTACACTTTTATACAAAGCATTGAGATTCAAAATGGATGTCACCTCAAAGGTCTTATTCATCATAAGATTATTATTAGCCATATCTTTTGATATATATGTATGTAGATTAGTTAAGATGTCAGGGAGGAAACGAGGAAGAGAACAGAATCTCTTAGGTTTTTGTATTTGTAGAATTCTTATGATAATTACTTCCACAGAAATGTTAGCACAATGAATACTTAGAGAAGCCCTCTAGCTGTTCCTGGAAAGTAAACTTTTCAGCCATATCTGCTTCTAGCTCTAGGAATGGTTTTTCCAGTGAGATAAAAGTGAGATAAACTGTCAGACTTCACTAAAACATACAGTCTAAATCTATTTACAAAAAAGAGAAGGTAATAAAATTTTCTCGATCATAAAATCTATGGGAGGACATACACAAAACAAAAATTAAAAGAAGAAAGGAAAATACACAAACTACCTTCTTTTTTTTTTCCTCTTTTATTTTTCCTCTTTTATTTAATTGTTCAAAAGTTTATCAACAAAAGGATAACAAATGCTGTGAGAATTATGATACTCTTATTTTGTCTGACTTCACTTGCATTAAATAATTTACAGACAATTAACATAAAAATAGACAGATTAGTGATTTTCATTTTATTCAAATCAAAAGAAACAGTGAAACTGCAGTGACACAAATGATAGCTATGGTTGGAATAATTGAACCTTGGTCAAATGCATTTTGCAATCTGCCTATTCGTGAGAAATGCTGGAAAGCCAAATATGCAGCAACAATCATGGAAATAATGGCACCTCTCTGTGTTTCCCTGCCAGCAGATAAAAACCAATGAGATGACATACAAAAGCAGAATAAACTAAGTCAAATGAAAATAATTCATCCACTAACCTTAAGTTCATAACCTGATGAGGTGCCACAATCACCAAAAGTAATGCTAGAAATGGCAACTCAAGTTCACCTAGAAGCAAAAGACACCATTTGAAACACCAGAATTTAGTTTTTCAATTGCAAAATATCAAAAAGTCATGGTTAAGTGTACAGTTTGGGCAGAGGTTTTTGAGAGAGAGTTATTGACTTTTGTTGATTACTCTAGAAAGCGGCTGCTAAAGCAATCATCTTTTCTCCTAAATGCATGCTTACTCAAATTCTTGTCTTCAGATTTATTTTTAATCTTTAATTTAGCAAACTTCATTTAATGATAATCTTTCCCCATACCCATGGAGAAAGTGACAGATCATTACTAACTCAACTTGACAAAACCATCAGTTGGGGTTAACTACATAAATTATTCCCCATACTCTATCTGGTCAATGACAAAATTATAATGACAACGTTTGGTCATTAGAAAATGTAATTCATCAATAATCAAAAGAAAGGAGTTAAGTGCCTCTTTATGCACAGCTTGAGGGACATTGCTGAAAGTCAGAAAGCCATTTCAGAGCACATGCAAACTTTTAAACCTCCAAGAACTGATAGAGACAAGAACAAATCAAAAGGAGAAAACTACAATGTTTATAACTTTAGTTGCCCAGAAAAAGTTTTATGGATTATTATAAATACCAAAAAAAGAATTCCAAAATGTCTTATATAATATACCATGGGAAAAGGTCAAAAGGGAAAAGTAGGACGTTAATGTTAGGACGTCCAATAATAGCCACATGTTGGATGTGATAGAGTTGGGACTCACACAATATCCCACATATTGAATGGCTGTGATTGCACGTTCTGGTAGTTCCTGATTTTCCCGTTTCTCATATACTATTCACTTAAATATTTTGTAATGGAAACCATACCAGGAATATGGAAGAAGAGTCGAACAAGAAGTGCCAAGAATGCAGACCAAAGACCATATTCCCCCCTGCCAAAAAGAGAAAAAACTTATTCGAGCTCACCAAGTCATGGATCCATAAAATCATGAATGATTTTATGTGTTCCACAAACAATCTTGCTGGTGGTTTTGGATCAAATATATTAATGAAGATGCATAAATTCATCATTTTTTTTACCATCACTATTTACTCCACAAAAAAAGAAAAGGAAATGAGCAACACTAATACTTAAGAAGCTTACTTAATCCATGAGATGATGGAAACAGGAGCCTGAAGGGCGAACAGTGGAACAAGAAAGGACTTGTGAATTGAAGTGCCTCTCACAATCATCAAAATCCTTTAAAATCAGTTGAAATAATAAAACCCCCATAAGAATCTTAATTTACATAGGAGTTTCAAAAAAATCCTAAAGCTGGGTTTTCATATGAACATAGCATCCACCACCACCATCACATACATAAGCATATAAACACTCCACTAACTCCAAAACTTTAATTTCTGCTATTGAGATGAAGCTCAAACCTTTAAAACTAAACACTAACACATACATAAAATATGCTAGATACAAACAGATATAGATAAAGGTGCATACGCGTTAGCAATGGCGGAGATCCACTGAAGATTCTGGACAGTGAGAGGCGCAGCAGAACAAACAGCACCGGACCCTCTCCTACTTTTCCTCTTTTCCTGAACAGAAAATCTGCAATTTACAATCCACCAATGATCAGATGAATCCTCTCATTCATAATCGAGATTTCTTGAATTGAATGAAACAAACCTGAAAGGATTGTAGGCGAAAGAGGATTTCTGGCCGGAACAGTTGAAACTCAAAGAGCAAGAGGCGTGAGCCAGTGCGGAGAGTTTGGTTCTGGTTTGACTCGGCACCGCATTCTGCAGAGAGAAAACTGGTTTGCCTTTTCCGGCGGAGAGGAAGAGTGCCTGAGTTTGAGAAAGTAAAACGGCCATCGTTCTTCGGAGAAATCTCAGTGAGGATTGACGAAGGAGCAATGGCGAATCTCCGGCAATGTATTTCTAGTATGGATTTATCTAACTGTGCGGGTAAGGTTAAGGTTAAGGTTAATGTTAAGGTTAAGGTTAAGGGTGTATTTTAATTCTTTTTTATATTAATTAATATAAAAAATAACAAAAATTAACTTTAATTTTATTATTAATATTATATATATTATTTTCATTAAATAATTAATTAT